AGATATTTATATTTTTTCATGTACATTACTATAGATTATTGTTAGCAGAAAAACACAGTCTTCTGATTGGTTGTTTCTCACTGAAAGTTAATCTCTCATCTCTTTGTGGCTGTATCTTGAATGTCAGATCATCTATATGCTAATTGTATCCACCTACGCAAAGTCTTTGTTCTCGTTTTTCTCACAACCAATATTTGGGACATAAACACTGACGTCAATTAATGTCTATCAATTTGGCTAGCAGCCAGCTCTCACCACAATCTTAGTTTTTCTATGGTTCTTCATACATTTCTGAATAAATTCTGGTGGGTAGTGTGTTATTCACTAGAAATATTTCCTTTATTTGTTTGGTTTCGTTATTTAAATCTTCTGGCTGGACTAGTAGGGCACTGGGCTCGATTACACAGACATTTAACTAAGCCTATCTTCCCTCACCAATTCTGGACGGGATGAATTAAAGTCTAAGTATTGATTAGACTGTGTTGGTTTCCTATAAATGCTAGTATCTAACTCTCCATCTTGTTTTCGTTTTATTCTAAAGTCTAGCATGGTCAACCCATTTTCTGACTCAGAAATGTATTGGATTCCATTTACTATTGAGTTTACCTGTGTAAGAAACTTAGGGGTATATTCAGATTTCAATGCAGTGATTGTGTCATCCACATAGCTCCTCCTCATAAAATATGAGCAGGACTAAGCGTTTTAAGAGCGTTTTGTTGTTGGTTAGGTGTTTGGAGGTAATCGACAGGAAGCCTTGGACCTAGGCTTCGTGCTTTCTAGCCCTCACCAGTTAGCAAGGCGTATCTGCAGTCTTGAAGAAACTCATTTTCCCTCTGGAATTTGAACTTGTGTCCCTCAGACATCTAACACCGACCTACCTGAATAGGACAAGTCACTAGTGAGCACCTCATTGATATTCAAGTGTTGGTTTGTATGGATTTGATTGGTTATAGGATTTCATCATGAGCTGACATTAGTTACCTGGGGTTCTAGTGAGAAGTCGTGACCAGTAGGGTGCATCAGGTCAGGTGTGAGGACAAATACTCGCCGAAGACATTGGCTAGGGGTCGCGCTATGTCGTGAATTGGCAGAACTTGAAATTCATGGGCCATTGGATCGGGTCCCAGTGGCTTAATGGTATACGAGCTCGCCTTGTAACCAGATAGTCCTGGGTTCGAATCCCGGTGGAGTGCGTACTGATGAAGAGTCCCAAGCTAGGACAAAACAGCTGTCCAGTACTCCTAGGTTTTCCAATGGCTCTCTATCTAATGTCACCTCATGATGAAATCCTGTAACCAATCAAATCCCTACAAACCAACACTTGAATACTTGGATTCTATTGTGAACGATTTGTAGTATTACACATTTACTGTTGTGTAAAAATTATCCCACCCGATTGTTTTCAATGAAATCAGTGGGTTTCGCATTTACTTATCCAAAGCTTCCTGCCGATCGCCTCTAACCACCTAATGTCATTGTTCCATTGTGTTTAGTGTGTTTGAAATTTCGATCGATTATCATAAATCATCTTAGATAGTAAATTTTTAATAAAATTATGCGGAAATTTTATGCTAAAAATAATTATGTTTAATCTGCCACTGTGTCTCCAAAACGACTCCTGTTTCGCGTTCGGGAGTAGAAGATTAACTGCCTAATTTCGCCTCTTCCAATGTGTATCTACCAATTTAACTGCTCCTGTGGAGTGAGCCAGTTACATAGGCCGTACAATTAGGCGTGTTTCTCGTCGAATTTCCGAACATCACCCTGCGTAGTGGTTGGTTAAGTAAAGGACAAACAAAATCTATTCGCAGCGCTATTCTATCTCATCTTGTGGATACAGAATACAAGACTGATGTTAACCATGCTTTCAGGGTCATTTACCGCATACCAACAAATCTCAATCTGTAATTTGAAAATTCCCATTCAGTCATAGAAAAGAAAAGGCGTTCAGCAAAGAGTTAATTTTTTCGGCGATATCATTCTCAAGCTGTACAAACCGCAAATTTATAGTAATTTCTCTTGGCAACAAAAGGAATCTTTCCAAAGATGTGTTAATGCAATTGTTAATTTTTGACAACAAATTACGTAATTTAGAAGGCGTTAATCGGTTAGAAACTAAAATAAAGTTACAAAAGTAGGTTAGGTGACGTAATCTAATTGATAGGGTTCAATGAAAAATGAATGAGAGTCAAGTTAATGATCTGAGTAGAATTCACTTGAAAATAGATGAGAGTTAAGTTGATAAGCTGAGTAGAATTCACTTAAAAGTAAACGAAAATGGAGTTAGCAACAGTCGTCATGAGGGTAGAGGTTTAATAGAGGGTGGGGGTAGAAAATAATGCAATCAAGAAACAGACAAACAAAGAAGAAAGAGGTAAGACAAAATTACGTATTTGGTGTTAAGATAGATCAGGACCATTGTAGATTTAGTGACTGAACAAACTTCTTTTGTATGCAGAGTTCAGGATTCAATATGTGAATTGCCATTGCTTCTGCAGTTTGAAGAAGTTTAATTCGTACTCTTTTGGCAAGATTCCCACGTATTGTGTAGATAACTGAGAAGTTGTTTTGTGGGTTTGCTGGGTGTCCGGATTCGATCAAGTGTTCTAGGATAGAGCTGTGGCGAGGGGATCTTCTTTCTCCTTTATAAAACCATGAAGGTAAGTGTTCGCTGATTCGTTTGGATAGCAAACGCTGGGTACGGCCGACATACCTAGCTCCACATGAGCAGGTGAATTGGTAGATGCACATTGATGAGGCCCCCAGTGGAAGCTTGTCCTTAACGTTCGTGCGAATCATTGGTTTCGTAGAGAAAGTTAGTCTGAGTTCAGCTGCGAAGAAGGTTTTCTTCAGTGAAAGGCACAGGCAGTTTCTCAGTATTTCTGCTGAAGAATTTCCGTTGAATTGTAGATTCAAATAGAGAAGTTTCTTGGGAGCAGTAAGCATGGACGGCTTTTGTGTTTTGGGCTTCATGGCTTTTGTGATGAAACGTTCCGGGTAACCGTTTTCAAGGAGGATTCTTTTCAAGGTCTTCAGCTCCTCTTCTATGGTTTCCGGACTGCAAATGTTGTGGATTCTGTGAGTCAGTGAGCGGATTAGATTTCGTTTTATACATAGAGGGACCCAACTGTAAAAGCTGATGAGTTGTCCATTCCATGTCGGTTTTCTGTGAATGGATCCTTTGAGTGTCCCATCTTGTTCGCGTCTTGCTAGTTGCACGTCCAGAAAAGATATTGTTGCGTTGGACTCCTTCTCTAGTGTGAACTGGATTGCTGGATGGCAACTGTTGAAGAAGTCCAATATGTTCTCCAAATTTTCCTCATTATTGGCGATAATAAAATAATAATAATAATAATTTGCTTTATTCCAAAACAGTACTTGTGATACAGAATGGAATTCTCTGCATTTTTACTACAGTATTGCATCCAGTTAGTACATTATCAATAAATAGAATTCTACATAGATTAAGGGTAGTCTCAGTTCATTATTACAACAATACATTGGCATGTTCAGTAGCAAAGGTAAAGCTGAAACAGTGTTTGAAGGTGTTAGAAAAGTGGGAGCTCTCTTATTAACTGGCGTAAGCGAGAGAAAGAGACAAAGCAGCACATAACGGAAAAAGAAGAGAGAGAAAAGGAACAGAAAGAAAGAAAATGTTGTACCTATTGATGAAGTGGGTTGGAAAGATGAGATCCAGTTGTACTAATGACTATTTAATGAATTATAGGTGTCACGCCTAATGCTTTCTTTATCGCACAGAACACGAGCTAAGTAGGGTATGGTTGAGTTTTTGTACTTGCTGATGCGAGCATATAGTTTTCTATAAAAGTATCGTCCACGTATCTCTTGTAGAACCCGAAGTTAGCTATTGTCTTCTTTAGGTGTGTATTTTCTAGTTTTGACATGAAAATATCTGCAAGCAGCGGGCCGAGTGGTGAGCCCATAGCTATGCCATCTTTTTGTCTATATATTTCATTATTGAAAGTGAATTGGATGTTTAGATTACATCTTAATAGGAGTTCCTTCAAATAGTCCGTGAGTATACCAATGTTCATCTCCTTTGAATCAATATATTCACATATAAAGCATATTGTTTCGGTTAGTGGGACGTTTGTAAACAGTGATACTACATCTAGTGAGAACATGGTTTGATTGGAAACGCTGACGTTTTCAATGGAATTGACAAAATCGAAGGAGTCTCGAAGTGAGTGGCGGGAGATTTGCTTTCTGACTGGTTCTAGTATGTCTACTAGCCATTGTGCGGTACTGTGATAAGGTGAATTAGTCATATCGAGAATGGGTCGGAGAGGTACGTCTTTCTTGTGCACTTTTGGTAGTCCATATAGCCGGGGTATATTTGAGCCCGATCTCAATCTCCCCTTAAGAGTTTGACCACTAAATATTGCTGAGGCTGTTGGGATCTGTATCAAGAAGCCTAATTTGTGTGTCCTTACCTTGGCCATCTAAGTTTGAATGATCCTGAATTTTTGTGGAATTTCCCTAATTTTAGTTGATATTCTATTTGCTGCTATGTCTTTATTATTATTATTATTTAAGCATCTTTAATGAACTGTAATTCCATTGTGATCTTACTTTACAAAATCGATATTATTTAGAAAACACTAATATTGTTATTGACTACTATTCTAGAATATTCTATGTATTTTTATTTTATTTTGTTTTTTTTTTTTTATTTTGATTTACAGCTTGATTCCACACCGTATTTTCAGTACAAGTGTGGAATTTTCAGCATGGATATCGGTGGCCCAAATTCAGGCCGACCATAGATATCGGGTGTGCGCCGGCAGGGGATCGAACCCCGGACCATGTGCATGGTCGGCGAGGGTCCTAACCACTGTGCCACCGACGCATATAGACATTTATGTATAATTGTAGAGCCAGAAGAGGAGGAAATTATCGAAAAAAAATATTCTTTGCTCAATTATTTTTGTGTTTTATAGTAATCTGTTTTTTTGTTCATCTTCTATGAATTTATGCAGACTTCATCTCCTTCAAGTTACTTCAACACTGTTCAGCCTAAATCAAACTATGGGAATAATTATCCACAATACTCTGCAACAATACACGTTCATGAACCACACTCATCTGGAAGAAATAATTCACCTATTCGAGTGTATAATGGCAATTCAACACGTGTTTATTCATCGAAACAATACAGCACACGTGTATCACCGGCTAGAACAATTACACCGACTACAACCTATCAGTCGTATAGTCAACCAAATTCTGTATCACGTGGTTCTGGGAGAATTGTACAACCTTTACGTATAAATGTATACAACAGGTCAGTCTTTTTAAATATCTCAGTGTTTATTAAGTGTTTTTGAATTTATAGGCACAAATAGCCATCGTCGTTGTTTTAACAGTGTAACTACCAAATTAGACAAGACCAATGCATTCTCACATGTATAGCATCTGTTGAGTGTCTTTGGGATCAAGCACAAAAGCAGAACACAAACTGTTGTGTGTGTGTGTGTCTGAATGACTGCTGATAACAGAGGTGTATTAATCAAACGTTTATTTATTCCAATTCATGGAATTTTCAGCATACTATTATTGTTCCCTTAGATTCCGAGTGGAACACATGGCCTCAACAGTCCACCTCCATGTTACCCTGTTCCCTGCAAACCTCTTGACCTGGTTCCACTATTGTTCATAAACTCTCACCCCTTCCTTATACAACCCTCTTCGTGTTACACTAGGACAAATCCCAGTCTGGTGTACGATGTCACTCAACGGTCTCCTCAGAGTGTCCGATCAATCCCCATTTTCTGCGGGATGTTTGTTGTACTCTGGGTTGCTGATTGGTTTCTTCCCAGACTTTTTTGTCGCCAATCATTTATCGCCAGCCATCTTATCTTCAGTATGAAGTAAAGCCAGTTGTTGAAGAAATAGGAATCCACGGACAAATCACAGTACTGCTAAAGTTATTACGTTTTGTAATATGCCGTAATAAGTAACAAGTTCCTATCCATTTGTGAAGTAAAATTCATTTAAATATGTATTTTAAAAAAATAAGTATTGGCCTCTATTCATTGGAGCCAGGTGAAGACTCTAGCAGATAACCGAACGCAATGGAGACGCACGGCTGAAACCCTATGTTCCTCTAGGAATTAAGGGAAACAATAATGATATCATATAATAATTGGCCTCTGTTCTAGTAGTGTGAGTAGTTGAATACCACTCAAATTAACCAGAAGTATATAGTGTAAATGTGCTCATGCTTGCTTTCCAGATCACTGTTTGTGATCACATACTGTGATTTTCGATTCAATGCTGATAAATCAGTTCGCCCAAGTAGCTGGCTAGAAATGGAGCTGATTCAACTGATTCAGCCAACCGAGCTGAGTCAAACGGAGTACGGTGCGCAGTCTAAAACAAGCAAAATGGTGTTTAGAGCACTTCAGTGTTACTAGCAAGCACTACTAGCTGATACAAGCGGTGGTCAACTACTAACGATAACCAATCCGTAGTATGTAACATCATGCTGTTTGAAACAAGGTTGTGATTTATCTCTTCGTTGCCATAGTTACCTACTTCTAATAAATAAACGAGGCAGAAGAAACTATTGAACAAGTCGGTAGCACAGTATAAGTAATATGATGCTTTTCATTTACAGTTTAGGTATTTGATAATATTACTGCGAAAGGCGTAGCCCTACACTACTACTGAAGTGTTGACACAAATTGTCAAATAAAATCCTGTCAGTTACATGTATCGTGCGTCGGTGGCACAGCGGTTAGGACGCTCGCCGGGGTTCGATCCCCGGCCATCGACGCACTCCTTTACCTCACTAAGCCAGAAATAAAAAGCTGGTAAAGAGGAAAGGTTGGGCATGAGGCTAGCAACCCCATCCTGTAAAATAAACGCTGCTACAGAAACTTCAAGTTCTTAGCCTGAAGCCCTATGTTCCACTGGCAACGTGAAGGAATCAAAGTTATATGTATCAGTCAGCAGATTCACTGATTTTACTTTAAGCTCTGGAATAGTATAAGTTCCATCAATGTATGCCTAAATGCGTCATTGGTGAGGATTAACATACTGAATGCCTAAATTCATTGCCACCTAACAGTTGCATTTCAGCGTTGCTTACACTCAAATGCTTCTAGAATTCATCTTCAGTTTCTTCTAATTGAAGTGAAATGATGTAGTATGTTGAGTAATGACTCTGAATCCAAACATATCACCTCATTTAACTGTTAGATGAAACTGAATAAAACCTCAAAAGGCCTTCATATTTATATATACCTTTGAATGACATCTAGATGGTTCATTTGTGAAACGCAAAAATAAATAAAAGAACATTATTATGACCAAGGTAAAGAAAGCGGTTGGATAAAACATTTTTGAATACATAATTTAGGTTTTTGTCCATGTATGGCTAGAGTTTCGGCTATGCATAAGTGGCGAAAACGTAAACTTTTGTGGGTGATTGGATTTGATCCTGTAGATAACTTTAAAGGATAAATCATGTGGAGCTGAATGACCTGACTCTAGAAGGTGTTCACAAATTGAAGACCTTTTCGTCCTTTACTCACCTTTCATTAACCAAACCGGGTAGTGTTCAGCTTTGCGCTTACGGAGATTGCGCTTACAAGCTTACACGAGCATGTGAATGAGTATATGCACACAGAGGTGGACTCACATCGTCGAATCATATTTTGGCTAGTAAATACTAAATGTAGGTCAGCTGCATAAAAAGAGTGTTCACTACATTTAGATAAACGACCTTTAATTACTTCAGAAATACTGTAACTTTTGAAAGCCAAACTCACAAATAGTGTCTTCTTCGGCACTGCGATTTGGCTGGGGACGATAACTTCCTGATGTTTCTGTCGATAAACCGTCTAGGATATGCATTATTTAACAGAGTTGTACGAAGGCTTTCTAATTCTAAAATTACAAGGTAGATTTTGTTGCACACCAATAGTCTTTGGTAAAGTATTGAACAATATTCTTCGCGCATATTGTCTGCTTGTAAATTCAGCACAAAGCACACATATTTCTAAACGTGGCGACTCATTCGTCTTCCGAAATGACTAATTTTCGTTTGTTTTTATAGAGATGGGGTTCATTGACTTAAATAATCGGTTTTCAGTCAATAGGTCCAGGGTTCGAGTCCTGCCCCACATTCTTTAGCTTGGCCATCTGGATAGTATCATCAGTAATCTTTAATCTTACTTGGCATTCCAGAGAGAGAGAATAAGTGTAAGGACAAAAGAGCAGAAGTTCAAATTAGTTTCTTTTTTTAAAATCCGTTATTTGACACTCTGTGGTGCTTGTATTTCACTACAGAATGAAGTTAGCCTAGAATAATAGTTCAAGTGACAAACAATGTGAAGGTGAAACATAATCATTCACTATAAGAGAGGTTTTATTGTATTTCCCAATGAATGAAAAACAAAACGATATTGTTTTTACTGACATTTCGCTATTTAATGCTGCTGCTACTTGATATGATTATGAGCAATAGTTTATGCCCGAAAGGTCATCAGTTAGTATTACTGTACAACACTGTGTGATTTTACCAAAATAAAATCTTATCCATAATGGACTTATATTTTACCACTGTGCCCAAGTCTTATACTTATATCAATAATACTGCTGATAATAGCTTTATCAAAGTGGTATTATTAAACCAGAATTTACAAAATCCACTCAGATTATATATAACAACTTAATCATCGTTCCTCAGCATGGGGGCAGTTTTGCGTTGTCAAATTGGTCAAAAGGTTCCCCAATAGTCACTGATTTTTTCATGAATAGATTCGAAGATAACGTCTTCTCAAGCATACTCACTCCTAAAATATGGTTAACATATGTCGATGATACTTTTGTAGTGCTAAAACGAGATCTAAACAGCTGATTCTTGGAGAAAATAAACAATCCATCTCCCAGAATCCACTTTACTTCGGTAACAGAATCAGACATCGGTGAACTACCATTTCTAGACTGCCTAGTTAAGAGGACGGAAAACGGACATTTTAGTATATCTATATTCAGGAAGAAAACCCACTCCAACGAATATTTAGACTTCGGATCATCACATCCCATCAGTTCAAAGGTATCAGTTGTTTCAAGTCTTCTTAGACAAGCACAATCTCTTAAAAAGGATGAGAAAGAAAAGAAGAAATATCAAACATTACTGAAACTTTCAAGCAAAACAACTAGCCAAGGGACTTCATCAACAAAATCAACACAGACATTAAGTATGGCCGAAGCGCATTCCGAAAACATGGACCTCAAAAGTTGTCATTCCATATAGAGCGGAGACATCAGGCGATATCAGAAGAGTACTCAATAAGCTTGACATTAGAGTTTTCTTCAAAACATCAACTTTGTTCATATAAAAGACCAAATCCCTAAAGATTCTCTATCTAATTGTGTCTATAAAATAAAATGCTTAGAATATGACAAACATCGCTAGAGAGAAATCAAAAATCAGAAGAAATGAACACCGTAGAGCATCTGTTCGACCACCAAGAAATAAATCCATTTGAACTAGAAAAGCTTGATAAATCACCAGCCATAGCTCGTCTACACGCTACAGAATCAGGCCACAAAATTGATTTTGACAATATTGAAATAATCCAGGAAAAGCATTTCAGAAATCATAAAGAACGTCTAATATCAGAAGCGCTTCATATCAAGTGGAATGCAAATTGTCTGAATAGGAATGATGGACTAAAACAGAATTTGACCTGGTTACAACAGCTCCCTGCCCCCATGAAATGAAAAAATCAATTTCATTATGTAAACACATGCTGCTTTTATAATTTTACACACTTATCAAATCCAACAATCTGCATCAGGTTGCGTTATCTTTACCTTTAGGCCAATTTGACAACGCAAAAGTGACCCCATAGTGAGTAACGATGATTAAGTTGATATATATATAAGCTGAGTGGAGTTTGTAAATTCTGGTTTAATATCACTACTTTGATAAAAGCCATTAGCATTAAATAGCGAAATGTCAGTAAGAACAACAATATCGTTTTGTTTTTTATTCATTGGAAAATACAAGAAAACCTTTATTATGGTGAATATCATACGCGCAATGCCCAAATTTTTTCAAAAAATTAAATGTGAGCATGGTTAGGACATATGAAATATAATCATTCTATGAAAACCACTGATAAACAATCTTAAATCTCTGTGTGTGACAGAAGTCTGGATACAAAAGACATTCCCTTATTAATCAGAAAATTTCAGGGAATTTTTCGATTCCCTTGCGTTCTCAGTGAAACATAGGCCGTTGAGCTTGAGCTTTCATGCTTCAGTAGA